ATGGGGTGCAGGGCCCAAGTACTTGGGCCATCCTCCACTGCACTCCCTGGCCACAGCAGAGAGCTGGCCTGGAAGAGGGGCAACCGGGACAGAATCCGGCGCCCTGACGCTTCCAGCTCTCTGCTGATAGTGCTTAGATGGCCCAAGCACTTGGGCCCCCGCACTCACACGGGAGACCCAGAAAAAGCTCCTGGCTCCTGGCTTCCGCCTGGCCCAGCCCTAGCCATTGTGGCCATCTGGGGACTGAACCAGATGATGGGAGATATCTCTCTCTCTGTCTCCCACTCTGTCTCTGACATTTTTTCTTTCAAATAAATAAAATATTTATTTAAAAATTTTCAAGTTCCATATTTAACCTATCTCTTCTCTCTAAAATTTCTCATGGACTATGTTTTATTTCTCTAAACATCCCAGCCTGACACAGGACCACCAAAATGGTACAAATAAAAGTGTGATAAGTGGCTGACATCCTAAATATTGTATATCCTACACTGATGTTATTGTTGACCCTGTTATTCCCACAATAAGCCCAAGCTGCTTTTATCCGTGTACCTCACTCAGACATTAAAGTTTAGAAAAAGGTGTATTTTTTTATTTTAAATTTTAACATTAAAGTTTTATATTGACAAAAGCTGTATATTTAACATGATGTTTTGAAATATGTATTCATCATAGAATGGCTAAACAGCTAATTAACATTATCTCACATACTTACAATTCTTTTGTGATGAGAATACCTAAAATATACTCTCAGTGATTTTCAAGTATACCATATGTTAACTATAGTCAACATGTTATACAATAGACATTGAACTCATTCTTCCTAACTGAAATTTTCTATACTTTGACCAACAGCTCTCCAATACTCCTCACCTCTCATTTCTATCTTGTTAAAAGCATGTATAAAATCTTGGTTTTTCCTATTATTATACATACTTTCACAGCAGTTTAAAATCTGAGCCCACCCTCACCCCTAGTTGGAGAGTAAAGTTCCTCCTGGTATAAGATCATGTCTTTCCTTGGTACACAAATGGTACCTTATTTTCATTTACTTGTTTTTATTTTATTTATCTTGTCCCCACTTTACTGTAAATTCTTTTAGGATGAGAACTGTCACTCATTTCATTGCCCACAATACAATGTTTAGCACAGAGGATGTACTCAGTATATTTTTTACTAATGAGTGAATATTTGTTAAAAAATAATACTGACCTATACTGAATTATACTGATGCTAAGTGAAGACAGTGAGGCCTTCTATCAAGACAACTGTATGAGCATAATATTCTTAGCTTAGGGACATAATATTTTTATATAGATTTATGAAAGGTTAAATACTACTATAAAACATCAAAATAATAATAATCAAACCTAATTAAGTAAGAAAAGCTTATGGTTTGTTAAACTGCTTTCTGTTATTTGTTATTTTTAAATTTTAGATACATATTTACTAATTAATGTGCCCATCAATTTGTTGTTTCATAACTTCTCTTATGGGAAAGGTGGCCCTAGGGCATTTGGTGACAACCCCAAGCTAAAGGCCTTGCAGGCTCCCCAGCTCCACCCAGGGATGCAAATCACTTACCTGGGAAAACCTGTTGGACCACAGGAAACACCCTAACTGAGAAAAAAATGCAGTTACAAGTATGCTTCTTAGATCGTAGTCCATAGTGCAACCACTGCCCCCTTGCAAGCATATGGCAACAGTCACCCTAAGAAGGGTCTGCTGCTACAAGTATATCCCTCAGAATAGTCCGTTTGCATCAGTAGTCACCTCCTACCTATCCTGTTTGCTCACTACTTCCTTGCCATGTGTTCAATAAATCTAGCTCTGCTCCAGTGAATTCTTTCACCACCCCCAACACTAGCCTGCAATATCTTTTATGTGAATCACTGAGTATCATATTTTTAATTTATCTCTTACCATTTGGTTTATTCAATCATAAAGTGATTAGGCTACTAATTCAGTTATGAAAACTCAACTTTCATTTGCACAAAATGAAAACCTTAGTCAAGAATACAAATCATAGTGAATGATAGAATCTTGAAAACTGAAATTTCAAATCTATTATAAATGGCTGAGTTGAGATGTTAACACATTTCCCCAAAACTATCAATGAAATAAAATAGCATGACATTTTATTAGATGAGCATGTAATGAGGAATATTGACAGATGATGAGTTAAGCAGATGCCAAGATGAGAAAAGAGCAAAGATATTTACTATGGTTATTCTCTACCTTACACTTGATTTGGCTTTCACCATTCACCCATAATACTTAGTTACAAATTTTCCAGGGTGACTCAGCAGATGAACCACCTCATGACAAGGATGAACAACCCTTCTGACAGTGCATTTTAAACCATCGATTATCTATTTGATTTTTGAGATGAATATTATTTTAGCCCCCTATGCTATCCATGTTAGAGTCCTTATGCAGAGGTTACCAGAATCTTGAAGCCAAAAAAATAAAAATAGTAGTTCATTCTTTTTATTTTACAGTTGAGAAATTTTTAATCCCAGGAAGCTTGTCACACATCCAAGTCACAAAACTAGCTAGTAGCAAAGCTAATACTTAAATCTAATCACCTTGCCTCCAATTTTAGTCTCTTCCACTCTCCCAGTTTCCCTTCACTTTTTGCATATGAAGTCAGTAATTTCTGTGATTTGGGGATTCTGGGAATGGCTCCAATCACCAGACAATAGATTTCCTATTTGCCACAGAGTCTGTCCTCTTTTAAAATAAAAGTACATTTAAGAGCTAAAAATAAAAAAAAGTCACATTCATATAGCACTTGATTAAGAAATCTCCATATATTTTGAGATCAACAACTGCTAGTGATCAGCATTTTACTGGGGTGAGGTCTTGTAACAAAGAAATGTAAGCAGCTGAGGAAGTGAGGCTAGGTAACTGGAGGGTTCATTTTGGTGAAAGTGTTGTGGAAAACTGCCTATTCCATGCTTTTACAAGGTATGGATAAAGAGATACTATCTAAAGAGCCCCATCTGTTTAACCAGTTAGATCATGATTTTTAACTGAGGTGATTTTGTTTCCCAGGGGATCTCTGGCTATGTCTAGAGACATTTTTAATTGTCACAGTGAGGAGGGGGCAGTGCTACTACCATGGGTAGAGGCTGCTAAACATCCCAATGTACGGGACTGCCTGTCTGCCCCCAAACCCAATCCCAACACACCAGAATTGTGCAGCCCAATGTCAATAGTGCCAAGGTTGGGAAACAGCGAGCTACAGGGAGAAAAATTCATTGAGGAACTGGAGGGATTGTCTGGAACTGATGCTGGTTTTGTTTTTTGTTTGTTTGTTTGTTGTTGTTTTGTATTTAAGGACATAGAAAAGGAATTAAGCTACACACACTAACCTTTTTTCCTTTTTGGGTATGGCTAACAGTTTCTAGGAATCCTGGAGACTGTTTATCTGGATTTCAGTTAGGCATTTCACAAGTTCTCTGGCATCTTTGTGGAGAAATATAGGCCACGAGGACAGTTCAGTTGTGTAGATTTGAAACTGGTTGTCCCTTTGTTTTCAAAGTCTACCGAGAAATTTTTGATGGCAAGATTAAGGTTTCTTGTAGTGACATGTAGCTTTGCCCCTGGCTCTATCTTATTAAACACTTAGCAACAACTCGCATAAAATGCTTATCAGATTTGGGGATGATTTTTTAAAATATGCATAAAGTAGGGATTCAAAAAGATCTTCACTACATGGTTCGCTTAGTCAGGGCTCCATAGTTGATTGGGAACACTAGCAACAATAGACTGAAGTAATAGGCAAATTTTGGCCTAATAGAAGAGACTAACGAACGTTAGAACTGTTCAAAGATGGGATATGACGCCTCCGAAGGCAAAGTTCAGATTGTCAAAACAGAGCCCATATGGCGGCTTGCAATCAGAAGCGTTGAGGCAAATTCGCTGGTGCGGTATTTGTACCCTGAACACATTGCAGAGCTCTGCATTCTGTCCGCAACGGATCTTAGTCTCCCAGCACCTGCGCAAGTCCTCCCAGTCAGAGGGTAGCATATACAGCTGCCCAGAGTGCCGGCCTTGCCCTGGGCACGAGTTGGCCTAAGAAGCGCGAAATCCACTCGAGAGCGTTAGATGACAGAGCTGTGGGCCCTTGGCATCTTCATGTCTCGCTTCCAGAATTCGGTCCCAGCTGCTGGCTTTTTGGAATCTAGGACCCTCTGAGAGAATTATCCTGTGGGACACTACGTATATCCAGGTGTTCCTGTCACGGTTATCTTCCAAACGTTAGATTCTGTGAAGTGCCTGACAGGGCATGAGGAGTTGGGATTTTTCTTCAGGAGCTGTCATCCAGGCGTAAAAGAGCCAAAGGCTGTATAACTTGGGCCTGCTTCCAACTCCGCCTCAGGGAAACTTGCGACCCCAGGCCACCTAACCCACAACGCGAACCCCAAAGTAGCCCCTCAATGCTTGCGAATCCGTCGCGGTTCGCCTTTTATATTGAGAGGCCCGCGCGAGCGCGTGACCGACAGCCCCAGGGCTACACAACGGACCAATGAACGGGCACTCCCTTCGCGCTGGCTCGGAATTGGGCGAACCGCGCCAGCCTCTCGGCCTCGTAGTGGGCGGGGCGCTCTAGGGCGGGACTGGGATAGGCGCGCCCGCTGCGCTAGAGTCCCGGGGGCGCGTGCGCGGTCTCGCGGCAGCCGCGGGGGCCGGTCTCGCGCGGTCTCGAGGCGGAGTCGCAGGCGGCGGCGGCGGCGACGGCGGCGACGGAGGAGGCTGGCGGTGGGGAGGGGGCGGGGACTGAGGATTCTGAGGTGGGGAACCGGGAGTTTCGGGATTCTTGGTCCGGTGTTTTAAGGGCTGCCGGAGGGCTGTCGCTCTGCCGTGTCTAGGCGCGGCCGTGGCTGGGCGATCGGCGGCCGCGGCGGTGCGGAGGTAAGAGGCGGACCCGCGGCGGCCGGGCTGTGGAGATCTTAATCAACAGGTCCCCGGGAGCGCGGCGGGGGAGGGGCGGCAGGCTCGCCCCCTCCCCCACGCGGTGCGCTCGGGCCCGGGCGGGACCGTAAGCTGCTCTGCTGGCTGCCTGGAGCCGCGGGAGCCGCGGTGGCGGCGGGTGCGAGGCCAACCTTTGTCCCTCGGCGGAAAGCTGCCTGCGTGGTGCCGCCTCCCCGAGCCGCGGCCGGGGACGCACCTTGGCCCAGGCTCCAGCCCGCCGGGTCCGAGTTGCTGGGGGCGCGGCAGGGAGCCCTGGGTCCTGCTGCCCTGGCTTCGGGGACTCCCTCCTGGCCGAGGCGGGGACCTCGGCGTGGGGAATCCTGCCCTTCAGAAGACGGGATGTGCCGTGAGTTACTCTCTGACTCAGCTCCTGCTCTTCTGCTGCGCGCTGCTCCTTTAGACGAATAAACAGTTCCTGCTTCCTTGTGACCACTTTTAAAGAAAAGCCTGATTTCGTTACTGGTTTCTCGTGATTTACTCTCAGATTCCAAGTTGAACTTTGAAGCCTGTAAAGTGTAAGCTGCTTTCAATGAAAGGCTCTTTAAACGATCTTTGTAGCCAATTATGTAACTTCCTTCGTGGTATCAACTCACCTTCTGTTTAGGTGATTGACGGATACTTGTACGGAATTTAGGTTTTGGTCGAAAGATTTTTCCTGGCAGTTCACGCTAAAATTAAAATCTGAGAGCTCCTTGGTTTCTACAAGGTAGTGTGTTTTGTCTTCCTAATCGTTTAGAATTTTAAGAATTCAGATTTGGAAAGCTTGTAAGAAAGAACACGAATTTTGAAATTTTGATTTGGCTGATAAGATCAAAATTTCTGTTTTTTTTTTTTTTTCAAAAAAAGGCAATTACCATGTTTTAATAATGGTATCCTAATTATGCTTTTAAATTATGCCAGAAGTTAATAACCTATTAAATTCTGCAATAGGCACAAATGACGTGTTGATTATTGCTGTCTTTGAAGTGTAAGTATTGGTGGCTATGAAAATTATTAAATAAGCTTTGCTGAATTATGAACTACTGAGTTTTTACTAGGTCTGTGTATGGACATAGCATATTACAAGTTTTAAAAGGCCATCTAAACTATTGTAGCAGGCTGAAGCTATAAAAATTCAAATGCTTGAAAGGTGAAACAAGCAAAAGTGAAAAAGACAATTCGTTATTTTATCTTTGTTAAAAAATTTGAGTAAATCTTACCATGTTGCTGAGTGACTTTTGCTAGACAGACTTGAACTTGATGAGAAATAGAGGACTTGTTAACTTGTTTTAGATTGTTAAAATGGGAGAGTTCATGTAGAATGTAAGTTCTACCTGAAGGTGACCCAAGTCAGTATGGTGAGTTCAGGTATTTATGATCCTAAGTTATGAATTATGTTCTTAATTAAAAAAAATCTCAGCACAGACATAACAGTGTACTCGATCTAATTGATGTATCAGAACATGCTATTTCTTTGATATTTTCTTGGGTTTCAGGGTGTCTTGATAAAATAGTATCTTGATATGTACATTAGAATATGTTTTTTATTAAATACTAAGTCATTGAATTGGAAGATACCTTTAGAGGTTATATACTCTAAACTTTTCATTTTCAAGGAAAAAGAACATGAGTTTTATAGTCTATAGCTAATAGTCTGTCTGTGGCAGAGTTGGAACTAAATGCTGAAATGCATGTTTCCTTATTCTAAATGCTTGTTCTCACTATTGCTTATTGTTAAATAAACCTATAGGTTACCGTCTCCAAACCATGTAAATGACTGGCAGCGTTGAGCTTTCCTTTAAGCGTGTTTTTCCCTTTTCTTTGTAAATAACCACTAACCACAGTTCATTCGTTTACTGAAGGGTTGTTTTCAGTTTGTCAAATTTCAGATAATGTCTAGTGAATATCCTTGTGCTTGTCTCCTTGAGCACATGTGCGATTTCTGTAGGATATATACCTACCTATTAGTGGAATTGCTGGTAATAGGTTGATATGCATTTTCAGTTTTACTAGTTATGGCCAGACTACCCTCGCAAGTTGTAATAATTTACATTCTTGTCAACAATTTATGAATGGCAGTGATTTCTCATCCTTGCTAGTTCTCTGTCCAAATGCTTCTAGCAGCTGTGACATGGTCAGGCAGAAGCCTGCAGACAGAACTCAGTCCAAGTCTCCCATGTGTGTGGGTGGCAGGGACTCAAGTACTTGGGTCACTACCTGCTGCTTCCTTGGATATGCATTAGCAGGAAGCTGGAATTGAAAGCAGAGCCACCGGCTTAGTGGCACAGTGGGTTAAGTCACTGCCTGCAACTCCAGCATCCCATGTGAACGTTGATTCAAGTCTTGGCTGCTCCACTTCTGATCCAGCTCCCTGCTGATGTGGCTGCTGGGGAGTGAACCAGGGGATGGAAGTTCTTTCTTTTTCTCTCTGTCATTCTCTCTCTTTCTGTAACTCTGCCTTCCAAATAAATAAATCCATACCCATCCTCCACTCCCCATACCCCACCCCTCCAGCCCCCCCCCCCCACACCTGCTGCTGCCAAAAAATAAGGCCGAGCAAGGACCCAAACTCACGCATTCTAATACAGATTGTGGGCATCCCAAGCAGCATCTAAACCATTATGTCAAAAGTCCACCCCAATGCTCTTTTTTTTTTTTTTTAACTGAGTATATTCCTATATGAAAAATGAGTGCTCATTAAATATGTTTTGAATTGTGAAACTTTTTCTTTACCCATTCAAATTACAGGAGACTATTTAACTGTGAAGAATAACATTTCAGTAACTTCATAATTCAATTTATCAGCAACAGAGAAAGAGAGAGATCTTGAGCTTCTATCTACTGGTTCACTGTCCGTCCCCCAACCTCCACCCCCAGAAAAGCCAAAACAGGGCCTGGCTGAAGCCAGGAACTAGAAACTCCATTCTGGTTTCTCACAAGGGTTGGAGGGGCCTAAGTACTTGGGCCATCCTCTGCTGCCTTTCCAGGTGCGTTAGCAGGCAGCTGAATTGGAAGCCAAGTTGCTGGGACTCCAACCAGCACTCTGTTATGGGAGGCTGTTGTTTGCAAGCATTGGTTTCACCTGTGCTGCAACGCCAGCCTCAATTTAGCCTTTTGTCTCATATGATTTTACACTCCTGCCTTAAAGACTGTATACATGGAAAATGTTGAGGCATGTTAAGGTAAGGTTCTTGGATTTTTTGATTCTTTAAAATGAGTCAACTACTTTCTGTAAATATTTTAAACTTTGTAGGCTATATGGTCTCTTGCAGGTACTCGATTCAGCTGTTAGTAGCAGAAAGGTAGGGGTCTACGTTGTAGCACAGTGGGTCCAGCTGCTGCCTGAGATACCCACATTCCATATTGGAGTCTATGTTCCAGTCTCGGATGCTCTGCTTCCAATCCAGCTCCCTGCTAATGTGCTGGGGAAGGAAGCAGAAGGTGGCCCAAGTGCTTGGGTTCCTGCTCTCCTCATGGGAGACCCAAATGAAGCTCCTGGCTGCTGGCTTCAACCTTGCCCAACCTAGGCAGTTGTGGCCATTTGGGGAGTAAACTAGCAGATTGAAAATCTGTGTGTGTCCCTCTCTCTATCACTCTGCCTTCCAAATAAATACATTTAAAAATAGGTAAAGGAGCCAGCACCGCGGCAAATCCTCCGCCTTGCTGGCGCCAGGCCAGCTCTCTGCTGTGGCCAGGGAGTACAGTGGAGGATGGCCCAAGTACTTGGGCCCTGCACCCCATGGGAGACCAGGAGAAGCACCTGGCTCCTGCCATCGGATCAGCGCGGTGCGCCGGCTGCAGCGCGGCGGCCATTGGAGGGTGAACCAATGGCAAAGGAAGACCTTTCTCTCTGTCTCTCTCTCTCACTGTCCACTCTGTCTGTCAAAAAATAAAATAAAATAAAAAAATAGGTAAAGGTAGCCAAACAAGTGAACATGATTGTTCTAGTAAAACTTCACAGACATGCATTTCTTAATGACTGGTAAAAAGTGTCATTAGATTATTTCATTGATCTGCTAACATAACATCAAGGAGTATACTTACACAAACTCAGATAGTATAGCTGATTCTGCGAGGTTTCTTTAAACAGTATATGAGACTGCTGTCAGCTTAACATGGAGTATTTTTTTACAATAAACTTTAAGTATGGGTACATTCTAAAATAACAAACTATATAATATAGAATAATAAATACATAAACCAGTAACATCTTTATCATCTATTAAGTACTGTACATAATTGTACATACTGGACTTTTATACCCTGTAGGTTTGTTAATACCAGCATCACCAGAAACATGTGAGTAATATGTTAAGCTGTGACATAAGTAGTTGATAGGAGTTTTTCCATTCCATTCTAATCTTATGGGTCCGTTGTTGAGGGCGTATATGACTGTACTTGACAAGGACAGGGCAGCCTTGATTTGACCTTTGGGCTTTAGCTTGTGTGCCTCTGCCTGAAGGCAAAAAAAAAAATCAGTAAAGGAATTGACAGTAATTGTAGTAATATAATGGGAAGGAGCCTTGCAGTAATGATTCCATGCTGTAATTCCAGGCAAAACTTCATTTACCCTGTCTGTGATATGTAGCTACCTTGGAAGATGATTGAAAAGATTACAATAAGGTGTGGAAAGCACCTAGCAAAATGTGTGACACACAGTAGATGATAAGTGCTATATTCACTTCTCCTATCTCTGTTTTCAGTCTTCTTAGCTCTTTGTGACAGATCAACAGATGTGTAATGTTTAAAGAGAGTCAGTTTTATTTTACAGTTTGTAGTGTCTGAGGGTATGCCAAGAAGTTAATGGAGAGTGGGCATTTAGCGTAGGGTTTAAGGCACCACTTGGGACACCTTCATCCCGTATCAGAATGTCTGGGTTTAAGACATGAGGGGAGGCCCGGTGCCGTGGCTCACGTGGTTAATCCTCCGCCGGCGGCGCCAGATCCCATATGGGTGCCGGGTTGTAGTCCCGTTTGCTCCTCTTCCAGTCCAGCTCTCTGCTGTGGCTGGGGAAGGCAGTGGAGGATGACCCAAGTGTTTGGGCCTCTGCACCTGTGCACCCGCATGGGAGACCAGGAGGAGGCACCTGGCTCCTGTCTTCGGATTGGTGTAGCTCTGGCCGTAGCGGCCATCTGGGGGGTGAACCAATGGAAGGAGGACCTTTCTCTCTCTCTCCCTAACTCTGTCAAATATAAAAAAAGACATGAGGGGAGTGAACCAACTAATCTAAGACCAATATCTATCTCTGTATATGTCTCTCCCTGTCTCTCCTTCACTTTGCCTTTTGAAAAAACAAACAAAAAAATTTTTTTACACAGACTTTCTGTATTTTGCTTATGTTCTTCAGAAGTGCCTTTAAAGGGTTGG